GTGGTGACATTGGTAAAGGTGATGAAGGTATAGTCGTACAGCTGGTGAAGCCATTGGTGCAGGTGGTCCAAGATGTTGCAGGTGGTGGTGGGGAGGGAGGGGGGATAGCAGTCAGCTGGATCACTACCACCAATAGGGAGGAGGTAGGAGGGAGTCAGGTGAGGCACTTGTCGCAGGTAATGAGAAAGATTCAATAACAGTTATTACCGGCCCTCAGCGTCACCCGCCAGGTCTTCTGTTGTTACTGTTGCTGTTTTTTGTTGCTGGTACCGTTTTTGTTGTCGCTGTTACTGTTGTTGTTTTTGTTATTGCTGTTACTGTCGTTGTTTTTGTTGCTGTTACTGTTGTTGTTATTGCTTTTATTGTTGTTTTTGTTGCTATTGTATTGTTGGTGATGTTGCTGTTGTTACTGTTGTTTTTGTTGTTGCTGTTTTTATTGATGTTGCTGTTTTGGTTACTATTGTTTTTGTTGTTGCTGTTTTGTTTAAGTTAATTTTTGTTGTTGCTGTTACTGTTTTTGTTGTTATTGTTACTGTTGTTGCTATTACTGTTGTCGATGGTGTAGTACTGTGGCAGCTGTTACCTTTATGACTTGTTGTTACTTTTGTTTTGTTTTTTGCTACTGTTACTGTTGTTTTTGTTGTTACTGTTACTTTTGTTTTTGTTATTCTTACTTTTGTTTTTGCTACTGTTGTTTTACTGTTTTCTTGCTAAAGTTTTTTGCTGTTGTTTTTTTATGTATGTTGTTTTGTTGCTGGTGTTGTTTTTGCTGTTGTGGTTGTTGTTGCTATTTCTATAGTTGTTGTTTATGTTGTCGTTTTTGTTGTGGTTGTTGTACTTGTTGGTGTTGCTGTTGTTGCTGCATATCAAATACATTCAGGAACCAGTGCATATCTAGTACTTACCAGCAGTGCGTAAGAGACGTGACCAACCGACCAAGCGGCTAATGAGCCTATTAGTGGTGAAGAGGATAAAATAAAATATAATTCCATAGATTGAGTTACGTCCCTCCCTATGACCGTGTTATTAAAGCAAGGAAGTGTTAGTTCCTGCGCCGTGATGAGTGCAGAGTTATTTTCTATCTAGAAAAATTTCAGCAAGTGTTAATAAACCCGTGCGCTGAGGTTTTAAGTATTGACAACCTTGTTCCTTCTCCCTCTTGTGGGAGGTAATTTTTCCAGGGTAGTCAGGTGGTGGCTCTCGTTCCGCTGAACTTCATAATATGATGTCTTTGGATAGTTGCTATTACTATAGAGATGCCTTAATTTTCTTTGGAACTCCTGGTGGAGGCGGACAAGTAGAACAATACTGTATATAGTTAACAAATCCTAAAGTCGCCAGCCTTACTTTGTGTTCCATTTCCTTCACAGATCTATTAAAATGGATTCCTGGCAGAGAGAGAATTTATGGGAAAATGTTTCCCAGAATCATAAGGTTATTGGAGAAAAAATCCTAGATAGTGCCAGTTGTTGTTACTCTTTTTATAGACTCTGATTTTGAACAGATCTTTGACTTCCTTATGTCTTAGGCTTGTAATGGTATATTGTCAGTATTTTCAGACTAGCAACAGTATGTCTCTAAAAGCAAAAGTCGAACAAAGGGAAGTTCTGTTTATTTTTAGGTCAACTGCTTGATCACCAACATGACTGTTATGGTCAAGGACTGCATCATGGAAATTCAAAAGGGTTTTTGAATATTTAAATGGCGTGTAGATACAGTCAGAAGACGTTAAGTAAGTCACATCTGAGAACTTTATCACACTAGTGCAAGCCGGTGGGAGACTGAGCAGGTCGTTATTCCGTATCGTAAAGGCTTTCAGCAGACATTAGAGTATATGAAAATCTATTTTCAGTTACTCTGATGACGTCGATGACGTCACTGTTAAGAGATTAATAAGTTTCTTTTTGTAAAAGGTAATTTTTTTTTGGGGGGGGGGGCACCCCCCTACATCCTTGTGTAAGGTGAAGCGCAGAAGCGTTTACAGCGCCCAACAGGGAGGCATGCTAAATTCATGCTTGCCTTATGTCTCATGAGTTAAGGGCGTAGAAGCCTGAAGAGTCAAGGGCGTAGACGCCTGAAGAGTCAATGGTTTATGTGTAGGCAAGTTATTGGAAGCTCCAAGAACTTGTCCCTGAATACGAATTCGCAACTTTCGATTTACAGCAGGTACCTACTTTGCTGCTAGGTGAACAGGGACCAAGGGGACTAGGAAGAATGTCCAAACAACTTTCGCCGACCCGAAAATGGTGTGATTGTTAATACATGGCAGTGGTATGTTCTGGAGCAAAAGCCTCTATGTACAGACCCTTGATTACGTTTAGTGACTAGAAAACAAGAGTCTGGTAATTCCTCCTTATTTAAGTTTTTCGAGAATAGACTGGAGAACACTTTACCAGACGTGGTTTGTGACAGAAACTGCCAGACAACAAGGAACAGAGTACAACCATTAAACGTTAAACAGTGACGACCTTCAAGGAGGGAGTCGCCTTAACCTTGTTTTCAAACTTTTGTAGCTACAATTCTTGGGCATTTTCATTAATAAACAGAGGTTTTTCATGGCACATGAATCTTATATCTTAATAATTTTTACCAATTTAAGCAAACGCTGAGGTACTGTATTACAAATTTTGTTTCTGTAGTACAGTAGGCCTACTACGGAAACAAGTCATTCAGTGAGGAGGCTCGAGTGATTACATTTCAATGTTATTTTATGTAAAAAGTCTCGCGAGGTCTGGATCATACTCGACTTGGCCGCTTTATTCCAAACAAAAATTTCAGAATGGCAACAATAAACGAAAGCTTTTGTTCATATCAGTAGACCGACAAGACATTCATTGACACGTTCTTACAAATTGGAGAAACAGGAATTTTCAAGGTGTTAGGCTGGGAAGGGAGTACTCTCAATTTACTGTACAGTGTTCTCTCCTTCCGGTTAAAATTGCCTCTCGAATTTTCAAAGAACTTGCAAGTTATTTTAAAAATTCTTGGAAGGAAGATTTTTTTATAAGCATCTGGATGATTGACTGAATATAATGATTCAAAGAAAGCAATAATAAGGGATACTGAGAGAGGGTTATATCGCTCCTGACAAAGATGGAAGTCTTAAAAACAATCAAATCCAAGTTGATCACAAAGCAGAAGTTCATGACTATAGTTCTGGACTGAAGGCCGGATTCCTAGTCATTATGACGATCACGATCATGACCATGATGCATCGTGTGTCGGGAAGCAGCCACACGACGTTGAGCGATCTTACAGGAGCCTGTAACTAGGAATACAGCGCGTGTAGGACGTGTAAGGGAGACGCTCTTGTCTCACCGGTCCTGAGTATAGGGAAGACTTGCAAGTGTCCCTCATTTGTACCGCCTTCACAAGAACCAAATTCGCACGTTTGTCATTTCCTTTTTATCACCTAAATATGAAGATACACGACTGCGTAGCGCACTTTACATCTTCCCTGAGCATAATGTATTATGGGACATCGTCAGCACCATGCCACCTGAACGGTCCCAGTTTGTGAGGTAACCTCTGTTCTATAATATACGTGGTTTTGATTTTTTCTTTCAAAAGTTGATAATGGCTCCCTTAAAGCGTCCTTCAAGTTATTCAATAAATAAAGAAACCCAAATGAAGAAACTAAATATATTAACACTAAAGATTAAGCTGGAGATATCGGTAAGTCCTGAAAATGGTGAAACAGCCTCAACACAGGAATGGACACACCAAGTGAACGAGTCATGCATACCTGTACGTTTTGTTAAAAATAAATCAGACAGAATTAGTAGTTTTGTTATACAGCCAGCCTAAATTTTAGGCAAGATGAAAACAACAGTGAGGACATTACTGTTAGAAGAAAAAAGTGTTAGTTGTGCATAGATCGAAGACCAGAATAAAGAATCGGTACCGCTTAGTTCTGCCGTCAGTTGTGAAAAAGCGCTGAATCTGTACGAGCTCTAAGACAAGATTAAGGTGAATCTTTGACTGATGAGACTTTTTCAGCAACTAACGGCTGACTTGACAAGTTTAGGAAGTGTCAGACTTAAAATATGACGTAAAGATAACTGGTGAGGCTGCCAGTGCTGCTGCTATAAAGTTTCTTAAAGTGTTTAAACCTATTGTAACGGCTCAAGGGTACACACCGCAACACTGTATTTAATGCTGATGAAACAGGTTTATATTGGAACCGTATATACCCAACAGGAAGAGACGGAAAAGATCTGCTGACTCTTCTGTTGTGTGTTAATTCTGTGGGTGATTTTCAGTTAAAACCACTACTCATGTACCATTCCCAAAATACCTTGGCCGTAACCACCATACCATACTGTACATGTCCACCGGGGAAGCCAATAAAAAGCCGGGATAACAACACAATTTTTTGAAGACTGGTTTGTGAACTAATTTTGTGGAGGTGAAACACTACTGGTGTGAGCAGCCACAGTTTCAAAGCCCTGCACTTCTTCATCATGCTCCAGGTCATCCCACACACCTAAAGGACCTACACACTCCAGAGAAGAGAAAAAGTGAACAGCATACATCAGAAGCAATAGTTCGTGGCTCAGTTGCCTGATCTCCAGACTCACAAGGGTCGAGATATTCTGTTGGCATTTGATGAAGATATTGGCGCCGGTTTAACCAAGGCCTACGAGCAGGACATTATTTTTGGTTATGAATGGCAAAATCTTTACCAAGCAGTGACCATTCTCTCTCAGACTGGATGGACTGGGGTAAGGTTGTAGCATTGTCGTTGTGTGTGTGTGTGTGTGTGTGTGTGTGTGTGTGTGTGTGTGTGTGTGTGTGTGTGTGTGTGTGTGTGTGTGTGTTTTTTCTCACCTTTCATCATTATAAGGTATTTTATTATCAAGATTGACTGACCATTATATACCAGTATCATCATCATCATCATCTTATTATTCTGTCGTGTACATGTAGGTAGTATTCGTCAGTCACTGCATAACCTCTAAATCAATTACCTTTCTCTCTCTCTCTCTCTCTCTTACAAGATCAAGATGGGTCGGCGACGGACGAAGGCGCTGATGGCGACGTTGGTGCTGGTGATGGTGGTGTTTGGGGGTCTGAGGGGAGTAGTAGCCCCAGTACCACCACCACTGCCACACCCAACTCCACGACCTGACCTCCTAACTCTCACACAAGACTACTGGCACTGGAAAACTCAAGATTATCCTCAATTTGCTACCGAGGTGAGAGTAAGTGCGAGTTCTTCTTCAAGGAAAGGTTAGGTTAGGTTAACCTGGTTTAGGATAGCGTACCGGACATATCTACTGACAAAACATCATTCTTAATTTTGATCCAATTTAGGTTCTATGCGCGGCGACCGAGTGGATACAGCGCTCGCCTCCTGTCCTAAAGGTTAATAGTTCGCTCCCAGGGAACTCTCAGTGAAGGCGGTCGAGTGCAGCATGCCGTCCACGCTGCCTCCTTACAAACCAAAGATTTAGTGCAGTATACAGTGTGGTGTATCCAAACGTCATGTCTATAGGACCCACACTCCTTTTCGGGTAAGGTTAGGTCAGATTAGGTTAGGTCAGGTCAGGTTAGGTTAGGCTAGGTCAGGTCAGGTTAGGTTAGGTTAGGTTAGCAAGAGAAAGAATATCTTAGTTTTAACACTGTTGAGGGAGTATCTTGATGCTGTCGGAGAATGAACTTTATTACGCTTTATATATCATGTCTATGTCATGTTTCTGGGCTCTGTGGTGTCCTCGTGTACTATCACTAGACCTATATTAATAAATGTGCAGATTATGAGCCGGATACACAAGCTTGACATCTTCCTCCAGTATACGAGTACTCTATTAATACCTCGATTGATTTGGATATTTCTAAATTTTAGTGACATTAGTAAGAAATATGCCAGATGAACGACGCATAAAAGGATCTAAGTCTAGCTAACTCTGGCTGACTTAAAGCTGGAAGAGTCATCTGGTTGCCTCAAGCTGATTCTTTGATTCAAGTTGAATATAATTAACTCTGGATGACCCAGACTATCTCTGGATGACCCTGCCTATCTCTGGATGACTCTCACTATCTCTGGAAGACCCTGCCTATCTCTAGATGACCCTCACTATCTCTGGATGACTCTGCCTATCTCTGGATGACCCTCACTATCTCTGGAAGACCCTGCCTATTTCTGGATGACCCTGCCTATCTCTGGATGACCCCCACTATCTCTGGAAGACGCTGCCTATCTCTGGATGACCCTCACTATCTCTGGAAGACCCTGTCTATCTCTGGATGACCCTCACTATCTCTGGATGACCCTGCCTATCTCTGGATGACCCTCACTATCTCTGGATGACCCTCACTATCTCTGGATGACCCTGCCTATCTCTGGATGACCCTCACTATCTCTGGATGACCCTCACTATCTCTGGATGACCCTCACTATCTCTGGATGACCCTGTCTATCTCTGGATGACCTTACTATCTCTGGAAGACCCTGCCTATTTCTGGATGACCCTCACTATCTCTGGAAGACCCTGCCTATCTCTGGATGACCCTCACTATCTCTGGAAGACCCTACCTATCTCTGGATGTCCTGCCTATCTCTGGATGACCCTCTCTATCTCTGGATGACCCTGCCTCTGGATGACCCTGCCTATCTCTGGATGACCCTCACTATCTCTGGAAGACCCTGCCTATCTCTGGATGACCTCACTATCTCTGGATGACCCTGCCTGGATTTCTGGATGACCCTGCCTATCTCTGGATGACCCTCACTATCTCTGGATGACTATCTCTGCCTATCTCTGGATGACCCAGACTATCTCTGGATGACCCTGCCTATCTCTGGATGACTCTCACTATCTCTGGAAGACCCTGCCTATCTCTAGATGACCCTCACTATCTCTGGATGACTCTGCCTATCTCTGGATGACCCTCACTATCTCTGGAAGACCCTGCCTATTTCTGGATGACCCTGCCTATCTCTGGATGACCCCCACTATCTCTGGAAGACGCTGCCTATCTCTGGATGACCCTCACTATCTCTGGAAGACCCTGTCTATCTCTGGATGACCCTCACTATCTCTGGATGACCCTGCCTATCTCTGGATGACCCTCACTATCTCTGGATGACCCTCACTATCTCTGGATGACCCTGCCTATCTCTGGATGACCCTCACTATCTCTGGATGACCCTCACTATCTCTGGATGACCCTCACTATCTCTGGATGACCCTGTCTATCTCTGGATGACCCAGACTTTCTCTAGATGGCTGGCAAACTCTTGACTGCCTCTGCTTGACCGTGACTCACTCGTCTTGTGCGTGTCAACAGGTGGGGATCAACGACAACACAGCTGGTCGTCTGGACAGCTACAGTATGGAGCACTTTGAGAAACGCAAGGTGAGTTACCCTGTTGGTGTTACTTGTCTGGACTACCGTTGTTGTTAGCTGTCTGTCTGTATGTTTTCTATTCACCCCTCTGTATACCATCCGATCGTCCGTCAGTCTTCAGTCTGCTTACATATTTTTCACATTTCTAATTTCTCAGATACTGTACATCAGAGTTACTAAGCAATTCTCATAATCTACCCTGGATGGTCATCTTTCGGAAAGGTAGTTGACATTAAGTTTGTCATATCATATAGACACTTCAGGACAAACAATAACAAACGTTTCCCAAGAGAAAAATAAACTTTTCTTATTGAACGTTTCCTCAGGACCATCAATAACAAAATTGTACCCTGAGCAGAGTGCACAGTTTCCTCGTTGTTTCTTTGGAAGTGACAGTAATAAACATCGGTGATGTTGACAGGTGAAGTGTGAGGAGTTCCTACAACGGGCGGAGGAGATCGACGCGACCTCACTCTCCTGGGATGACCTCATCAACCTCAAGATCTTCAAGCAGGAGATGACTACCTTCATTGACAACTTCCACTACATGAAGTAAGTGGATGGGGAAGTGAGGGAAGGTGAAGTAAAAGGGCGATGATAGGGTGAATAATCAGTAAAGGGAGAAATGGCATTGGGATGCAGAATTGAGAAGCTATCATTACTGTTTTATGGCCATTTGCCACGCTTTACGTGTGTAAGTCGTGATTACCTGATGGCAGCTTGTCATGCTGCACGGTCTCTTACATCCTTCCTCGTCAGGTTCTTATCTCTATGTTCATTACTCACAAACTCTCCCCGCGTCATTCTTGGCTTACCTCTGGCTCTCTCCCCTCCCCACTGATTCATGCATCTCTTGACCCTGTCTGTTATCATCACTAACTTAATGTAATTCATCACAAAAGTTTATTGTGCAGCACCATAGTGTGAGCTCAGTGCAGAACGTGGTGTGATATTACACAACGAACGGTTCGTTGTGTAATATCACACCACGTTCAACTAAGAGGCGTGTTACGAACCTCTTAGTTGGTATGAGTTGGTTAGAGGGGATATTGCATTATAGGGTCAAGACAGAGGTGCTGCAGTGTGATGAAGTCAGGATACAATAAGGTCATGTCTGCCTCTCCTTCAGGTACTTCGCTCCCGTGACCTTCCTGGCAGGACCCCAGAAGGACTTCAAGAGAATGGTGGAGAAGGAGATGGTTCTCACCTCCTACAACGACTATCAGAAACTGCTGTCGAGGTCAGTGTGGTGGAGAGATATAATTTGAATTTTCAGTAATTTCAAGAATAAAACTTTTTTCTATGCATATGACTATTAGCAGGTGAAGCCATAGATAGAGAATGATTAATATTATCCCGTGTAAGTGACAATGTAAGAACATTAGAGAAATAAACGTATGATTGTTACAAATAATCGCACGTCTGTAGATGCCGATATTGACTTGTCTTCTATCTTATACGGTAATATACTTCTCAAGAACATCCCACGTGGTACAGTATGTAAATAAAGTGAAGGAACAATTCACTGTAAGCGAGATTAGTGTCTTAAGCCCTGCTATTTAAAGCCCGTAAATTTGTACAGTCCCACTCTTGGGTCAACAATGAGCGAGAGGTGTAGTTGCCAACGACTATAAACTTCTTGGTTTTTCCTTCACATTAAAGCGTCTCTTTAAAAATAAATTTAAGCACTTTTCATTGGGTAATTTCACATATATTTGTATATATTTAGTTGCCTATAGAAACTCAAAGTCAAGTAAAAAAAATGAACAGAAAATAAGATACATGATAGTGTTAACCAAGCCACCCGCGGCGTTTTGATTTAGCAATCCTTCACTCAATGGCACAAAGTATCTGGCTGGCGTTGTATCGGTGTGAATCTTGAGTTTATGGCTGATGCATGGCTACCCTTGGGTCCTACCCCATTTATGGTGCACCAGGTAATAGATAGATGTCCCAGACTGCATTCATAAAACAGTAGAACAGTTTTATTATTATTAATGTATTATTATTATTATTATTATTATTATTATTATTATTGTTTGTTATTCTGTTATTTGATCGATTAGACTTGGATTCAGGGTCACAAACTATTGAATAACATTAAAAAATATAGAGTTTATGAATGTATTTATGGAGTGCAAAGTTTAGTCCAGATTTTCAAAGGTTTGCTAAGTGAATGTTTCTTGTAAGTGAAGATGTGAAAATATACATAACTAGTTTACTTGGGATAAAAGTACTAAAAAATCACTGAGACTTAAATAACACTGTAGCACACGCCTGAACTGGTCTATTTATACGTTTTTATGAAAGAACACACACCGAGTTTGTTGTACAGTGAGTGTGTGTGTGTGATGGAGACAACAGTTATGTAGACAATAGTAGTGTGTGAGCAACAGGAGTGTAGGCAACAGTAATGTGGGATACAGCTTGTAGATAACCGTAATGTGGACAACAGTAGTGTGAGCAAAAGTAATGTGGGCAGCAGTTTGTAGACAACAGTAAAGTGGGCAAAAGCAGTATAGGCAACAGTAGTGTGAGCAACAGTAGTGTGAACAACAGTTTGCAGAGAACAGTAATGTGGGCAACAATTTGTAGACAACAGTAATGTGGATAATAGTAGTGTGGGCAACAGTAATAAGGGCAATAGCAGTGTGGACAATAGTAATATGGGCAACAGTAGTGTGGGCAACAGTAATGAGGGCAACAGTAGTTTGGGCAGCAGTAATGACGGCAACAGTAGTGTGGACAACAGTAATGAGGGTAACAGTAGTGTAGACAGCAATAATGAGGGCAACAGTAGTGTGGGCAACAGTAGTGTGGGCAACAGTAGTGTGGACATTACTTGATTTAGCTCAATTCCATCGTGAGGCGAGTTTTATCATCTTAAGTGGTAGAGAAGAATCATCGTGTGAGCCTTTCATTTATGTTGTACTGTATAACATGGCGAAGCGAAAACTCACTGTCCTTCATATTTGTCTGTTCAATAAAGTCTCACTGCAGAGAAGCTTATAAAGACTTTTGAGCTTCAACCATTCGCGTGGTAGTATCTTCATGAACTGTCAGAAACGTAAACAAGCGCCAAACATGCCATTGATATTTAACAAGATGCCTGCTGGAAAACGAGAACGGTTATGAATAATTCTCAGGACATTATACGCCATAGTTCATATTCACATCTTGGAATATGAATTTTTATTACTACTACTACTTTTTGTTTTTTTAACTTGGCCTCTAGCCTCCCCAAATAGCCACACCTTTGCCGCCATTTTATTACCTTAATATTAAATATTCTAATACATAATTAGCTATCCTAGCTGTGTTGAATAACTTGAGCCGCAGGTCTGTGCGGCATTCAGTGACTGTAGCCTCATAGTCAATATCTGCAGCTGTTGTCGGCTTTGGGGCCGAAGCTCTCGTTCCCCTGAGGCAGAGCAAAGCCGACCGAAGGAGAGAGAAGGACAGTCGACATCTCATCCAGGCTGTAACATAACTTCTGGGCTGCTGCTTCTGTTCGGAGATCACCTCCGCAAGTCTGGCGTAGAAACATCTTGCACTTGGTCCCATCCTACCAGAGGTTGTGAACACTAGAGGAGTGAAGCTGCCTTGATCAACGTTCTGAATTATCTCCCCGTATGCCCTTATCTTGTCGTTCTCGTTCCTCCTGTGTGCAACATCGAGAGATAAGGTACGGTGACATGTGGCCACGGGATCAAAAATCCCGATGTCGAAGAAGGCTCGCTGTCCCCGCGTCCAGAACCCTCGATCACTGACGTCAACACGGGCTTCATTGGATGTGTTTGAAGTCCTATGTTGGAAGATCTCACCATCCAATGGAAGGAGGGTCGGTTCTACCATGACATCACGGCAGATTTCCTTCAACATATTTGCTGTGAGATCCCTTACTTCGTCATGCCTCATGCATATGAAGCCCCCTTTCTTGCACACCATGGCGTGATCGACGTCATAGGAAGAGCCACACACGCATTGGGAGGGCAACCCTTTTACTGGCCTACCGTACCTTAGAGCATTGGCATCTGTAAATTCTTGTTTATTGAGACTGAAACCATTTGCCCTTATCGGTAACGTAGTTAACCAGTTCGAGGCGCCCACCTCCTGCGCTTTAGCTATTTTTTTTTATATTCTCTGGTACTTGCAGCAGCAGTTGCTGCAGCTTATCACTTTGGCCATGCTGTCGTTCTGTTGTAATGGACCTTCGAATCTTGTTTACTTTACTAGTATTCACCTCCCCTGTTGCGTTCTGAGCTATTATGTGGTCTGTGAGGGCTGCCGTGAGCTTAACTGAGTTTTGATGTTCGGTGGTAGCAATCTCCTCTGGATTGGTTTGTCCCATTCCTCCCAGTCTCGGTGGTAGTGCAAGGAGTGATCTTTCTGCTGGGGTTAAGTGAGGGTGTTTCACTAATTTGGGAATGAAATTGACGCTGATAATTTCTTCCAGAGGGTGGAGGAGGGGTCCGATATCGGGGATAGTGCACATCAGGTAGTTCCAGCGATGCTTGACTCCATGGGTGAATGCCGCAAAAGCCGCATGTGGCTCTGTGTTAGCAATCTCAGACAGAGCTTGGATTTCCCTAACCTACTCATTCACCTTTCCCGTTATGTACTCGGTCTTGAAGTCCGACGTGCCAATTACTGCGCCTAGGTGTCTTTGGCCATCCTTTGTTATTTTGACCTCACTTCCGCCAAACACCTCCATTGCCCGTTCATAATGTTCTGGCTTCACAATGAGGAAGGACTTGCTGGCGTTTGGGTGGTACCCTATTTGTGAGCCTCGTGATGTTACCAAGTCCCACCACTTTTTGAGGCCCTCCACTTTTCCTGCTCCTGTAAGGTCATCAGCGCACGCCACTTGTTTGACCAGTTGTTTCAAATTTTATTGTGTGTTGGAGCACGGATAGGCCTATTGCATACATTGCCATTGCAACAGGGTCCCCCTGTGTTGTTCCCTCGGTTGACTGTATGATGGTATCACCTCTTAGAGCTTTGTTGTTTACTATATAGATGTCTGATGGATTCCTATAGGAATTTTCAACATACATTGCAAAGCTTGGACTACTACTACTACTACAACTACTACTACTACAACTAATAATAATAATAATAATAATTTTTGGCATACGAATTTTGAGTAAAATTACTTTAGAGGTTTAATCAAATTTGATTAACTGTTTCAAGGATAAAAAATAATTAGGGCAACTCATCTTTTACCCTCTTCGCCACTGATCGACTCCTTAGCCGCTTGGGCGGTCGATCACTTCTCTGTTATGCACTGTTGGCAAGTACTGACCATGCACTGGCTCCTGAATATATCGGAACCTGCTCCAGTGTTGGTCATGTTTGGCCCTGAATGAGCTCACTCTGGCAGATTTTTCCAAGAGTTCACAATTCTCACTCCGAAAAGTTTGCCCTCACAGTTTTCTGGACTTTTGGCTTCAACCTTGAACTATGACCCCTTGTCGGGCGGACGTCCGCCAGCTCCAGGTATGTATATTCGACCGTGGAGTGCTCCCTGAGATGTTTATACACTTCGATTAGGTCACCCCTCGCCCGTCTGCAGTATAAGCTAGGTCGTTGCAGGCGTTCTAATCTCTCTTGGTAACTGAGGCTCCATAGAGCAGGCACCTGTTTGGACATTTTCAATCAACTGACAGTCTCTAGCATTCCTCGTTACCTCGGGGACCAGACAGAGTGACTGCTCCAGACGGGGAAGCACCTCACTCTTGAAGATCGTGACGAGCGATGGACTATCCAGATATCTAAACGACCTTCTTATAAGACGTACTAGATTCGTTACCTGATTCACCTTCTTCTCACAATGGACTGAGAACTTAAGTTCATCGTCGACATGCACACCCATGTCCTTTTCACTTTCGATCTCAATTAATGCAGCCTTTTCGTCCTGTTGGTCCCAGGTGCATCCTTTTTTCATAGACTTGTGTTTGTGTTTGAAAAAATAGGCATTGATGAAGGCGATATTAGAATTCCCTCAAAAATCTTTACTGGCACAGGAAGCTTCAGTGTTAGTAAATAATGAACAAGGAGTAAGACAAAGCTGTGTACTGTCCCCTACATTTTATGTACAGTAATTATATTTTTTATGAGGGTAGTAGTAATCTGCAATGAAGGAATAAAATTTATGTTGAAGTATTATAAATTACATATATTACTGTTTTTATTGCAGAAACAACAATAGACTAGTGGAAAAGGTGAATACGTACTATGATCTTAGAGTTAACAACTTAACACTGTAACGACGAAAGTTATGGTTGTTTTCAAATTATAAATATGTTATAATGTAAAAATTGTAGTTGTCATTAAAAATGCTTAAGTGGGTGTTAAATTTCAAACTGTGGTGGTGGACGTGAAAGAAAAATTAAAACGAGGAGTAAAACAAAAATACCCTTTCATAATATTTGAAATTAAAAAAGGGGGTCATTCATTTAACTGATAGAACATTGCGAGAACGGAGATTAATTAGAGGTGAGTGACTATTGATTACAACTGAAACGTGTCATCAGTGGAGTTTATCCAATCTAATGTATTAGTTGGGAGGAAAGTCTGATAATGTGTCGGGGAGAACGGCAGTACAGTATGTTGTGATGAAATTTTAGCAAATACAGTATACTCGTATACTTGGTTTTCGTGTACTGTTGTTAAGACGCGGAAGTTTTGAATTATTATTACTATTATTATTATTATTATTATTATTATTATTATTATTATTATTATTATTATTATTATTATTATGATTATTATTATTGTCTTATTATTTTTACTTCACACGCCTAACATAAATAAACTAGCTCGGTGCTAGTGTAATACAGGAAGCTTTATTTGACTCAACTGCTGTAACTGTAGGCAGCAGAATATAATTTTAACTCAAGTCATCAACTCACATGATCACAAAACCAATGAACAGAAGAAATGTTTTATACTTTGTAGTAACCCCCCCGCAGACTTATATACCGGGTATACGCTTTGTGCACTTCATATTTAGGTTTTACAGCTCTATTTGTTTTTAATATAATTCTAAATTTGCATTCTTAGGTGTCTTTTCAAGGGGATTACATTTCCAAATATGCTCATTCATGTTTTTACCAATAGAATGATGTTACTGTATCAATGTGTATCATCCTACATGTATAATTTGTGATCTAACAATGATTCAGCTTTATTTTCTCCTCACAGGTATGGTGAGTTCCCCCGCCAGGCCCAGGAGATCATTGACCTGTTAAAAGGCAACATAGAGAGTGGCCTCATGCCTTCTAACTGGTCTATGGTGAGTGGAACTCCATGTGTTGTGCAGTGTAGATTCATGCTTGAACACCTGCCACTCTAAAGCAGACTTATTTAAAGACTCCTATCACAAATATATAATGTACACTAATCCTTCGGTACACAAGGAGGCAGTGTGGCCGGTACTGCACTCAGCCGCCTTCACTCTCTCAACAGTAAATTGAGATACCCAATTACACCTGGGTGAATTGGGTAGTGCCCCTGCTACGAATCAGACTGGAGGAGATTACTGTCCCCATCGACCGCTGCACCCTTTTGAAGAGTAAAGGTGTATAATTCTTTGGTGGAATATTTACAGATATGTTTGTTTCAATGTCAAATACAAATTTGGTGTGGGGCATGAAGGAATAGATGTTAAGAGTGTTAAAATGCCCATCGAAACGGCAACAGTTTGTCTGTGTATAATAGTGTGGCAGACAATGGGAGTCTGAAGTAAATAATTGCTGACAACAAAAGAGTGGACAAAATAAACAAACCAAAACTAACTGAGTGTTGAAGTCTGCTCCCTTCTTGTAAGAAATGAGATTGTACTTCCTAAGAACATTTTAATAAAATTTGAAAGTATGACACACACTAGTTTTCCCTTGTTCGCACTTCGGGTTTGTATTCTAGAATGTATCACTTGATTCAGATATTTGCTCAGCACTTTAGGTTGTTAATAAGTTCTTTTTGGAATCAGTGAAAATCTTGGATAATCTTAAGAACAGTTTAGATATGTTGCACTTGTCTGTCACTCTAGAAAATTAACGACCATTACTGTACTTTCACAGGTTGGGGTGGTGGACCAACTAGACAGTTTGGGTGGCCCTGTTGAGGACTCTGTGTTTTATAAACCATTCTTGCACACACCCCTCACCATCACCAGGGAACAAAGGTGAGGTTTACCCCACACACACCACCAGGGAACAAAGGTAAAGTTTACCACACACCATCACTAGGGAATAAAGGTGAGGTTGACCACACACACACACACCATTACCAGGGAACAAAGGTGAAGTTTACCACACACCATTACCAGGGAACGAAGGTAAGGTTTACCTCACAGGCACTATCAACAGGGAACAAAGGTAAGGTTTACTCCACACATCATCACCAGGGAACAAAGGTCAGGTTTACCTCATACTCACCATCACTAGGGAACAACGGTGAGGTTTACCACACACCATCACCAGGGAACAAAGATCAGGTTTACCACACACACCATCACCAGGGAACAAAGATCAGGTTTACCACACTCACCATCACCAGAGAACAAAGGTGAAGTTTACCACACACCATCACCAGAACTTGCAGCTAGAGTTGCTCAACAGTCAGGCTGTAACTGGTTAGATGTTTGATATTATGTTCTCATGTTAACTGTATGTGTACCAACAGAGCTTAACATGATTAACCTGACATAACCAAGTGTACTCCACGCTTATTAGTTGAAGATTTGGTTGTTAATTGAAAATTTGTAAGTAAAGTTAAAGATCTGATTGCAAAGTTTATTGTGCAGGAGTAATGTTTAGGATGTACTGTAGGAGTGAAGTTTAGGATGTAGGAGTAAAGTTTAGGACACAAGTAAAGTTTAAGATGTAGAAATAAAGTTTATGATGTAGAAGTAAAGTTTAGGATGTAGGAGTAAAGTTTAGGACACAAGTAAAGTTTAAGATGTAGAAATAAAGTTTAGGATGTAGGAGTGAAGTTTAGGATGTAGGAGTAAAGTTTAGGATGTAGGAGTAAAGTTTAGGATGTAGGAGTAAAGTTTAGGATGTAGGAGTAAAGTTTAGGACACAAGTAAAGTTTAAGATGTAGAAATAAAGTTTAGGATGTAGAAGTAAAGTTTAGGATGTCGAAGTAAAGTTTATGATGTAGAAGTAAAGTTTAGGACACAAGTAAAGTTTAAGATGTAGAAATAAAGTTTATGATGTAGAAGTAAAGTTTAGGATGTAGGAGTAAAGTTTAGGACACAAGTAAAGTTTAAGATGTAGAAATAAAGTTTATGATGTAGAAGTAAAGTTTAGGATGTCGAAGTAAATTTTAGGACACAAGTAAAGTTTAAGATGTAGAAATAAAGTTTATGATGTAGAAGTAAAGTTTAGGATGTAGGAGTAAAGTTTAGGACACAAGTAAAGTTTAAGATGTAGAAATAAAGTTTATGATGTAGAAGTAAAGTTTAGGATGTCGAAGTAAATTTTAGGACACAAGTAAAGTTTAAGATGTGAAATAAAGTTTAGGATGTAAAGGTAAAGTTTAGGATGTGGAAGTAAGGTTTAGGATGTATCAGTACAGTATATTATTTTGATAACTTAAAAGAAATATTGAAGATCAAGGAAAGGAACTCAAAATAACAGGATGATGAAAGGAAGAGCTACGGGAGTTGGTTCTTGGACTGCCATTCAGCATACCATGAAGAGAAGATGATGTGAAACAGTGATCAGAGAACAAGTAAAAGATGGAGAAAAAATAGAAATGGAGGAAGAAAATATAAATGAGAACACTTCAAGTATTAAGGAGAAGTAGGATAAGAATAGTATTTATGACAGGGCATCTTGGAGGCTTGTCAATCATAGGCAACATCTTTTGAGGGAGTTGGATAGAAAAAATCAATATTTTTCTCGATTTTTTATGATTTTAATTGTTCTCTTTAAACATTTTACAGGACAACACTGAGGCATCAAGCACAGGAGAGGATCAAGCAAGACCTCTTTCCATCCTTTATGAAAATCCGGGACTTTATCCAGGTGGGTCATTGTTCCAGTTTTTAGGTCAAGTACTTGTGTACAATACATGTATTATAGTACAGTACTAGCAAGTACTTGCTAGTTAGATCATCTTTGAGGGACTGCCTTATCTCTGGACCCACAGCCTAACCTAACCTTTTCCTGAGGATACACACTCTCTCTCTCTCGTAGAAGACAACTTCTCGCAGACTCAAGAGAAAATGAGAAATTTGGTTTTAACAGCTCTGGTAGTTGAACTAAGGACTGTCTTCCTGTAAATTATGATTTTCAGAATGAATCAATCCTCAAAAGCCAAATTCAGATACAAGATAGTCCTGTCTCTTAGGTACCTTAAGTTTCACCATTGGAGTTGAGAGACAATGTATTCATCTTTACCTTGGAAATCCTTTGGAAAATGGTAGTGTTCTTCCATTCCTCTGATGATGGAGGACAGGGAACTTGGTCCCCTTCTATATTGGATTTATGTATCATCTTAAAACAGCTAATATTTTCAAGAGAAGGGATGTTCTGAAAGACAACAGAGCTGCTGTGGCAGGTATCAGGAAACGGGGCATCTAAACCTATTCTTTTGTTCATTCTCCTGTACAGTAGCTGCCACACAAATACATTCCTATCCATGAGTTTGTCAGATGACAAATTTATTTTTCCTCCTGGACAATCATCACCTCTCAGTACAGTAAAGACTCGAATAACGATGGTAATGTGTCCTCTAATATTGCAGTGTAAGGTGAATCATCATATTGTGAATCATTAATTACCATTAAAATAAAGCAATAATAATGAGATGCATTCCTTAGTGTGACCTCTTCATATCTTTTGTGTGGCTTTTTACCCTCTTTTCCCCAAAAAACAATAAAACTAATGAAAAATTAAAACTGTATTCTTTAAATAATGTTTATGAATGCACCTTATATATTATAAATCAATAATAATATTGTCACACAAGAGGAGATGGGACGCCATTGTTGTTGTCACTTTAAACCCATAATGTCAGTTAACCATCTGAACTGAAGGAAGTAAGACCCTGATTGTTGCTGCAGTAAATTAATTTAAAAAAATAATATGTACATTTTAATTAATGTTATTTAATGTACAGTATAAGTAACCACTGATGGTAAAGACAAAAAGTAAGAAACTGATTGCCGAAGGCAACGTATGTAAGTACGCATTCACGGAAACATAGCGTCATTTATTTTATTAAGAATATGTACAAAAGATTCATTTTTGTTTATTACTGAATATCTGTTTGATTTAATTAATATTTATGTATGCAAAATGAACATTACAATTCATTAATAACACGTAGAATATTAAAACACACAAGATGAGACAAAATGGCATTGTTTTCGTTAGTGTTTACACCCATGACAAGGGCTCTACGTATGAAACTGAAGAAAATAAGACCCTGGTTATAGCTGTGGTAAAATTAATTGAAAAAAGAATATGTATGTTTTAATTAATGTTAGTTGGATTGCGCAACGTCACCGTATGTATGTACGCACACGTGAAAACATAACATCATTTCTCTACATAGGAATATAAAAGCAACACTTATTATTGTTAATGCTTATGAATGTACAAACAAAATTCTACCCACCAATGATGGTAAAGTAAAAAACTTAAGGACACAACCAATGTTGTCAAAAATTTGTGAGATGAGGAGGTTGTGATAAGCTTTTTACTTTTTACTTTTACTCTCATCCTCTTCACCACTGATCGGCTCGTTAGCCGCTTGGGCGATCGGTCACGTCTCTGTTACGCACTGTTGGCAAGTACTGGGCATGCACTGGCTCCTGAATGTACCTGAACCTCCTCCGGTGTTGGTCAAGTCTGGTCTTGAAAGAGCTTCCACTCGGTGCCGTCACGACACTTTCTGGTAGATTGCTCCAAGAGTTCACAACTCTCACACCAAAAAAGTTTGCCCTCACAGTTTTCTGGACCTGCGGCTTCTTCAATCTTGAGCTGTGACCCCTTGTGGGGCGAGCGTCCGCCAGCTCCAAGAAAGGACACTCGACTGAGTAGTGCCCCTTGAGATGCTGATACACCTCAATTAGGTCGCCCCTTGCCCGTCTGTAGTATAAGCTTGGCAATTTCAGGCGCTACAATCTCTCAGGATAGTTGAGGTGCCGAAGTGTAGGCACCAGTCTGGTGGCCCTCCTTAGAACATTTTTAACCAACTGACAGTCCCTAGCATATCTCGGGGACCAGACGGGGTGACAGTACTCCAGATGGGGAAGCACTTCACTTTTGAAGATCGATACGATGGACGGACCGTCTAGATATCTGAAGGACCTTATAAGACCCAATAATTTATTTGCCTGATTTACCTTCTTCTCGCAATGACCCGAGAACTTTAGTTCATTGTCAACATACACACCTAGGTCCTTTTCACATTCAGTCTCAAATAGTGCAGTTTCTTCATCCCATTGGGACATATGATACTCCTCATTACCGTTGCTACGCCCCAGGTGCATCCTCTTAAACTTCGTGACATTGAATTTCAGCAGCCATTTCTTCGACCATTCTTGGAGCCCACAGAGATCCTTCTGCAGCTCTTCACAGTCCGCATGGTTCTTGATTTCCAGAAAAATAACTTGACGTCATTGGCAAATATTTGTATGATAATACTCTCAAGTACTTTACATATTATGCTAGTCAGGCTCACCGGTCTATAGTTGTTCGTGGAGTGACGATCACCCTTCTTGAAGATAGGACTCACATAAGCCACTTTCCATTCACTGTGGACCTTTTCATCCAGGCATTTACAAAACAGGATGCACCATGTCAGGGCCGGGACTCTTATGGACCTTTAGCTTTGACAGTTTATTTCTAATAACTTCTTCTATAAACACAATGTGGGTCAGTGCTGTGTCGAGCCATGTGTCCTCAAACGCAGGAAGGTTAATCGCATCCTCTCTTGTGAACACCGAGGAAAAGAAGCTCTTCAATGCCTCAGCTTTATCCTGGTCAGACTCTGCGTAACTACCATCTTCAAGCCTCAGGTCTGATACTCCTACTCGCGTTTTTAATTTTGACTTTGCATAGCGGTAAAACGCTTTTGGGTTTGACTTCACCTCGCTTGCAACCAGTTTCTGGAACTCCTTCTCAGCCCTCTACAGTCTGCCTTTGCTTGGTTTCTGGCTCTTGCATACATCCTCCTGTCCTGCTCAACGTTTGACCCAACCCAAGTCTTGAATTTCTGGGTTTTCTTCTTAACTTTGTCGACCGGCGCATGGTTCATGTGTAGGGATCCCCTCGTATTCCTAGAGGCACTGGGTTTGGTCTTGGGTATATATTTATCGATCAAATGGGTCACTTTACTAGTTATGATATTCAGCGTAGTGTCTGCATTCTTGTGCCTTAATGAGTCAGGCCAGTGGATACCCCCCTTCTCTTCCGTCATCCCGTTTCTAACTTCCTTTGTAATATTTGCACCTTGGCCTGGCCTTATCTTGAACTAGGTAACAGTTATATCTGAATGACAACACTATATGGTGACTGGTGCCAACTGGGGCAAGGTGTTCCAGTTTGGCCACCATACCCTCCTCGTTTGTTATGATGAGGTCAGGTGGCTTGGGTGTTTGCTCCCCTCTGTAATGTGTCGGGTCTCTAACATGTTGAAACAGAAAATTATCTCTCAGAGTTTCTACAAAAAGAGTAGCAGGATTATTCAAGTCATTTGGGATGAACTCGTTTCTCCAGTCGATGTCACCATAGTTAAAGACCTCCATGATAAGGAGGTGGCTAGGCTTGAGCATCGCTGCGTTGTCTATTAAGGCTTTTAAGTTCCTTTGATTTAGTGGGCCACAGTTTGGGGATCTGTAGATACACGCGACAATAAGCAAGTCCCCTCCCTTTAATTTAATTTTACGCCACTTGGACTCTTCAAAAACATCCTCTCCCTGTACCCTCGCCTGGCTGGCTCTAAAGTCTTGCCTAGCATAAATAACCACACTTCTCTTGCAAGTTTCTTGAGAAAGGTTCGTAAATGAGTCATATCCAGCAATACTGAACTCACATTCCTCTGAGTCGATTCTCCTGTTCTTGTACAACAGTTCTATGACTCCTACAATATCGGGGTGGTGTACCTTCAGTAGTGTTTCAATCTCCTCTCTTATCAAGAAACGTGTCGGTATTAGTGTACATGACATTCAAGCCAGAATTTGTTCTCGGTAACGTCTCTGCTCTTAGTAGTAACTCCAGCCTCCCTCCATTCTCAGAAGCTGCAGCATTTGCTAAGTACACTGTATTTTGCAGGGTGTGGTTAGAAATGTTATTGTTTACACGGCGCTCGCCTCCTCCCGGCTGGTAGGCGGAGCTGGTGCCACCTCCCGGTTGGGGGATAGAGCGGGTGGAGGGTGCACTGCTGCCCCCTGGCTCTGTGTCGGCACATTTGCTTCCACTACCCTCCCCCTGAATATAACCCATGTACACCAGTCCCCGTTCCTCCTCGACTCCTCCCTTCTCTGCTTGAAGCCCTGCAGGAGCTTCTTGTGCTGTTCCCTCTGCATTACCGTGTGATCTGGGTGAATGAATACACTCCGAGATGCCTCGCTCCTTGCTAATTTTTTTGTCTGTCGAATAACCTCCCATTTCTTCGCCTCACTCACTAGTGTGATCCTGAGGGGGCGAGGCTTGTCCCTCTGCTTTTGTCCCAGACTCCACATCCTGAGGGGAGGATGGCATATTCAGAACCTCTGTACAAATATTCTTAAACTGCATCTTGTCATATGTTATCCTACTGAGTTCCCTCTGCCTGGCTCTCAGGGACTCCAAAAACTATTACATTGTTCCTGTGCTGGGAACGTTCCCGTTGTTCCTCCTCTCCCCAACAGTATGTCCACTAATTGTCATTTCTTCAATAACATTTCTTCAGAGTCCCTAGCTGCTATAGAACCTGTTCTGATCCTGCATTACTCTCTGCCGCCTCCTGTGGCCCTGTTAAAGTCTGAGCATAACTCCTCTTAGCAGCCGCCTCCATTCTATCGGCAACTTCCTCAGTCTTAGCAAGGATCTCTTTCCCAACTTCTTCCAGTTTGGCAACCAGCAAGGATCCAGCTTCATCTATTTTCGTCCTTAGGGAACTCGTTCCTCTATGGCTTGCCATTGCCTCTTTCACCTTGACTATGCATATGCAGTCAGGGCAATGCCAGCAGCAGCCTTCATGCTTTTCGGCAACTTGCATCGTCTTAAACACTACATTGGTCAGGCCTGTACTATCTATATCCGTCGCCCCCCTGTTGGTGTGTTTGTTTGTGTTCCGATCATGCTCTTGTTCAAGTTGCATTAGTTCTTCATTTGTTAGGTCTTCTTTATGACTGTTTAATAACTCCTGAACATTCTCTTCGTCAACTCACTACTTTCTTAAATTTTTTCTTCATTCTTACAGTTAGTTTTCACTGTTGATTCCCCCATCCCCAAAGCGCATGTTATATCCACAGACCTCTCACCTTTTTCATATTGTTTTAACATATCTAGTTTCTCGGCTAAGCTTATACACTTTCTTTAAGCTCTTAAACCATCACTATTATCATTTGCTCTCGTGTTCATGTTGAATAGAGGCTGCAACTGTTTATGTTAGTGAGGCTGGCATAACCTCTCATCAGCCCTGCAGCATTCGTGCGCCAGGCATGTTTTTGTTTTTTATACAGTACTACAAACATCAGATTCACTGATGTTTGGGCATCAAAATGATCTAATTTCAGTAGTACAGTACTCAGAAACTCCTGGCTATTCCCAAGGACTACATCACGGGATGCCATTCGTACTGGCAGACTCGACACTCACTTATTTGACAAGTGTTACTAGGAATAAAGACAGTTGAAGCTTTCAACATCACTCACAAAGGATCCTGCATGCTTCAAATGTAATCCGACATATCTAAGTTGACTCAAAACAATGGTGTTCTCTCTCACATTCAGATTTACTTTATAGAGAGGTTGGTTTCAGGAAGTCAGAGAAAATGGTCGGCACCTAAGCTAGGGAGCAATGAGAAAACGGACGCCTCAGATGGGAAACTAAAAAAAAGGCATAGCTACATGTTTTGTGGGCTATTGAGCGTAATATGAATCGTCTGATTTTACGTTAACTGGCATGTACGACCGTGGTCATTACAACCTCACCTCGGGCCATTAATCCACTACCTACTGTAGATTTGTGAAAAGTAGGCCGCGGTCAACTTTCTTAGACAAGGTGACTCATGTACGCACCAACTCAGTTTTGGCAGCAGAACAAGTTTTCATTACTAGTCAATCTGGCACTGACCATTCTAACTGTGCCTGTTCTAGTTCTCCAGGTGCCTGTGTATATGGCCTTTGGGGGATAATAATAAGTCCCCATAGATGCTGAACATCAGCAAAAGTACTGAGTTTGTTGATGTTTCTTAAACGTAATGAACACTTCTCGTGGTTTAAATAAATAGAAAATTAAAAGTACCTGGATATGATCAATGAGTCCCAGATGTAACAGATATGACCTCAATAAATAAATGAGAAGTAAAGTGTGTAAATTTAATTGTTTATACAGTACTGTATTTATATCATGAAATTAAAAAAAATGCAAATAATTTGTTAATTGGTACACACACACCCATGATAGTTGTTAATATTTCCATGTTTTAAAATAACGTTACCTCCATCATCCATAAATTTCAACAGACATGATCGACCACCCAAGTGGCTAACAGGTAGATCAGTCACAAAGAGGATAAAGTAAAGTAAAAAGTATATGCTTTGGCAAACACTTTTCTTTATAGTTTTGACTCTTTTTGTTCATGGCCTGGCATGTGAAGGATGAGAGTGCACATTGAATGTACCACTTGTTGTTACTCCTACCTCCCCTTTTCTAGCTGACTTTAGTATACAAAGTTGTTTGAACACAGTTTGATCCTGAAATCCCATTTTGCAACAGCAGGTAGCAATAACTCTACATCATTCCCTCCTCTGTTTTCGATACCAACATAGGCTGAATCTGTTGAACTAATTCTTTTGATGTCATTTTGTTTTTGCATCAACAAAAGTGCGTCATACATGTTCTTGTTTGACATCTAAAACTTCAGCTTTCTATCTTTTGGGGAATCTGGCATGAGGATGAATGATAATTTTGTTTATATTGTAGTTTAATTAATAAAATTTTAGACCCCAATCACAATAGTTGGGTCCCAGTGGCTTGGGGACTCTACACCTTAGACTTGCTGGCTATGCAGAGTTGCTCAGTTCTTGGTCTGTTATACAGGGGATTTCAGGATCAGTCAATCATTATTTCTTCAAACTTTAAGCAAGTTAACTATTTTCTGTTCTTTAGAAAGCAGATGTTACTTCATGTCTTTATAATTTTATATTTGTACTGGGCCTGACAACTTTACTACACAGACGGAATACATACCTGCCACACGACCGGAGATAGCAGCTTCGTCCCTGGAGGGAGGAGATGATTACTATCAGGCTGTTCTCAAATTTCACACCAGCATGAATCTCACGCCTCAAGAAATCCATAACCTGGGTGTCACGGAAGTGGCCAGGATAGAGGAGGAGGTGCAGAAGGTAAGGTAAACCTTGACTTATGTATTTTGTTTGTGGCAACAGTGAGTGTAAGACTTAATGCAAAATGGCTATGACAACATTTAATGCATGGCTCTGTTGTGGGGTTTCGAGATGTTGTCTCGCACTCAGGATGGGTTGGAGAAGGGAAACTCACAATGCACTCTCTGTATATATATTATATTGGTTGTACAGTGCAGCTTGATGCTGGTAAGTTGCAGCGTGGTTACAAGCGTGGAGTAGAGAGCTGGTTGGTGTGGTGTGTGCTCAGAGGAGGTGTTGCGTGCTGCGTGGCTGTAGGTAGAAGAAGAGGCAGGTCACGGTGAGGTGAGGTCTTATATAGCGGAGGTAGGTGTGGCTTGATAGTTGACCTCCGCTTTGTTAGGCGGGGCTAGTAGCCGACCTTAGACCACGAGGCGTAGGCAGGGGAATTCGAAGAGGGGCGGTCTAGTCAGCGACACACGGCAGTTGTAGTTGTAGGGGAAATTTCCACTGCAATACTCCCCCTTTCCTCCAGGCGGTGCAGGAGACTTGTTGTCTGCAGGGTTGCATCCCACATGTGAGACATAACGGGCGGTGCAGAAGACTTGTTGTTGGCAGGGTTGTACCCCACATGTGAGACACAACGGGCGGGGGTGTGGATGAGCCAGCCGCTACGGGAGACAACTTTGTCTAGAGACACGAGATCTGTGGGAGAAGCAGAGGGAGAAGGAGGGTGGTGGAGGCGAGGAATGTGGTGCTTCTCTCGCGACAGGTACACAGTCCTCAGTAGCGCCTGGTGGGGTGTGTGGGTCCGCGTCAGGAGCAGGGGCCACGTCAGGAGGAGGGTCCATGACAGCAGCAGAGTGCAAGACAGGCTCACTGGGTACCTGAGGAAGAAAAGAGGGTGCCCAGAAATGTTGTGGGCGAGGTGGTGCTGCAAGGGGTAATGGTGGGCAGACTGGCGGAGGAGGTGCGGGTTGAATGCGTTCAGGGCGGTTGGAAGGCTGGCGTGGAGCAGTAGCCTTGAATGCAGAAACTGCCTGACGTAGTGTTTGTAGTAGGTTGTGACGGGCAGCAGGAGTGAAGTAGTCAAGGTCAGAAGTAAGGCGTGTGATGTGCTGCTTGATAGTGGTGGAGGTTATGGCGCCTACCCGTCTCCGTCGATGTCGCTTCGCCGTGTGGTTGCAGGGGGCCTCACAGCATCTAGTGTTAGCACCAAAACATTGATGGTACCAACAGGGGGTAGATACACTGTGCTGGGGGCTGGGGGTGGTGTCTGAGGCAGGACGGGTGTGTTGGGGTCGGTAGGACGTGGTGCTTGGGGCAGGAAGAGGAGCAGCTGCATGCTTGGAGGAGCAGAGCTGCTTTAGGGTGTCTAACCTGCGGTGTAGGGACAGGTAGCAGGTCCAGCACGTCTTGTGAGGCGTTGGTCTTCTGGGGAGCGCTGATCTGGTTGATGAGACTGGAGGAAAGTGATAGTGTGGCCGTAGAGTTGTGCGCGGACGCATGGCGAACAGCAGTGTGGGGCCGCTGGTATCGTGTCTTCAGAGCATCCCGTAGGGCAGCGAATTTGTTGTCAGCTGGGGGGTTGGTGATGGTCTCTGATACTTGTGTGGGGACTCCTGTGGGCAGGGAACAGACCAGGGCGACGTACTTTTGTTTGTCTGTAACTGTAGAGCCGATGAGAGCTGCCTCCGTGTGGATAAGTCAGTCTTCAATGTTGTGATTGAAGACTGGGAGAGTGATCCGTTCCTCCTCCATCCTGTGTGAGCGCGATTCTCCCACCATTTGTGGGATTTCGAGATGTTGTCTCGCACTCAGGATGAGTTGGAAAAAGGAAACTCACAATGCGCTCTCTGTATATATATTGTATTGAATGTACAGTGCAGCTTGGTGCTGGGAAGTTGTAGCGTGGCTACAAGCGTGGAGTAGAGAACTGGTTGGTGAGGCGCGTGCTCAGAGGAGGTGTTGCGTGCTGCGTGGCTGTAGGTAGAAGAAGAGGCAGGTCACGGTGAGGTGAGGTCTCATATAGCGGAGGTAGGCGTGGCTTGATAGTTGACCTCCGCTTTGTTAAGCGGCGCTAGTAGCCGACCTTAGACCACGAGGCGTAGGCTGGGGAATTCGAAGAGGGGTCAGCTAGTCAGCGACACACGGCAGTTGTAGTTGTAGGGGAAATTTTCACTACACTGTACCTGAGAGTACTATCTGATAGTTTATGCAAGTGTTATATATTGTTGCTAGTGTTGGAGTAATTTATTCATATATGGGATGCAAAGACAATAGTGATATAGTAAGGTTGATAGACTATGCCTCCTATTTCTGCTTAAATGAGGCTTCCCATTCCCAGTAATCCCCTGGGTTCAATCCCAAGCGACTCACACAATATAGTTTCTCGCTTGGTAACAGTTAGTAATCATATTGAAATATAACTCAGACTGTAACAGAAAGAAAATATTTCACATGTTTAATGCTTTAAGCAACTGTTTGATTAATTTTTAGTTATACTGTACAATATTTACCAGTTAAAGGATATAAATATGTAAGTTTAGCCAATGTGTTTTGTGTAATAACTTCCAACAGACAGCGGCAGAGATCGGGATGGAAGGGAAGACCTTCTCTGAGATCAGCCAAGCCCTAAACAAGGATTCATCCCAGTTTTACAGCAGTAAGGATGAGATGCTCAGCGCCTTCAGAAACACTGTCTACAATATCATTTTTCCACTCATGCAGCAGTTGTTCTCCACCGTGCCATCAGACAATGTCACGTGAGTTTGTCACATCGCGATAAATTCTCACTTGTTTATGAAAATAATAACAATGTTCATTAAAACAGGCAGTGGTTCTCAAGACTGGTTCATTTTCACAACTTTAACATAAGTTAATAGTAACTTGAAGCTCCCTACCAATGTTTATAGATAATTGATATCTTTGTAGAATCAGTTCATAGTACAGTACAGAGAGGAAATACCATAATAAGTAGGTACTGTACACTATACTGAACTGGATGATATAACATGAATAATACTCTTTAATTTATTTCTTAAAAGACACACAGAGAGACATGCATGTACTTTTGCCAGTACCATACAGTACCTCACCTCCTCACAGATGTTATTGTGTATATAAGCTCTTTCTTTCCTAAAGTGACATAACTTCTCTTACTCTCAAGAAATATTGTGTTCTGTAATTGGAACAAGTGGAGCTGAAATGGCAACAAAGCCTGCATCACAAAAATTGTCCATTCACACTTTTTCAAACTTCATTTGGTATAACTCCTGGGTGTTAGATTGAGTCGGACCTCAACTTAGAAAGGCAACAGGTTTTACTTTAATGCATAAAGACAATAAATTTCTTATTTCTACAGCAAGTTGCTACAAAGAAGAGTCAAGTCAAAATGTCCAGACACACAGACACATTTGTATAAAAACAATATTATTGCTACAACCTCTCACTGTTTGAAACTGAGGCGAAGAAAGAATAGTTATCAGTCTGGTTGATGGTGTACTTCTCATGTCTGTTTATACCTACAAAACTAATGTTTATTTTGTGTACAGGATAGAAGGTGATGATGACCCCAACAGCATATTTGCAAGGTACAATGCACCATCTATGGATGGGACAAGACTCGGCACATTCATTCTAAATTCCTATATTTACGACAAACAGTAAGTGGATAAAACACCTGGTTTATTCACAAACTTTAGTATTTTAGCTAAGGACAGTGTAGTACTGTACAGGTATTTGTCAACCTCTTAAGGTCACTAGGCAATAAAAAAAAATTATGATTAGCCAAAATCAAAATCTGACTTGGTGGGTATATTCTATGAATGTAGTCAGCTCAGATTTAAAATAAATTATTTTATCTCCAGTGTATCATTTTCGTTATTGGACACTTGTTTACAATGTTTTTTAGTAAGCCTGATGTTTATATTTTGGAAATTGCTTTTCACTTCAAGACAAAATAAACACAAGAATATACAGTATAATGAAACTTTATTTCTATGAATCTATAATTATAATTAAATGACACTGACAAAATTACAAGAGCTAGTGATTCCTTAGCTCTGAGACCACAGCCATAAAATTTTTTGGTTAATCCATATTTATTCAAACCACTAATACCCTCACATGCATACTTCATGTGGCCATACCTTGTGTGTACGAAACACATAAATTAATAAATGAAGAGGAAGTAAACCCATTAAGAATTTTTTATTGTAATTCTTTTTCCCAACTTTGATAACATGAATGTCACGGTAAGGAAAAGGTACAGGTATTACGTTTTAACATGTCTTCCTCTTCAATTTATTATCTACTATTTTGTGAAGAAATGTTGATCCCCTCCAAATTTTTCCTGTTTCTGGCATATTCTCTTGTCCTCCACAGTAAGAAATATGAGGTGACGGCTTTGTCCTTACACGAGACCTTCCCAGGGCACCACCTCCATGAACTCTACATGCGGATGAACCCTTCCACCCCGAGTTTTCGCAAGTTTGTTGATTCTAATCGTGTCACGGACTCCCCATCCAAGTTTCCCCTTCACACTGTATTCACAGAAGGCTGGGGGCTCTACTCTGAGTTTCTTGGAGAAGAGTTGGGCTTATACGAGGACCCCTATCAGAGGTAACAACTTAACTGCTACTGTGTAATGTACAGTATCTCAAAAAAGCATCTGTCCTCATTCTGTATGAAACATTATGAGACCACAGATGATAGATATTGGGATATGCATTTACTGTACTTTGGTACAGGTTTAAGAGAGCAATTTCCTTACTTCATATTTTATCTTCCAGATTATTCTTTTCTGTTATTATTCTTCAATACTATATATATATATATATATATATATATATATATATATATATATATATATATATATATATATATATATATATATATATATATATATATATATATACATACTTTATATTCTTGCTTTTATTCTTATATAAGTAACTCTTATATTTCTCTGCTTATATTTTCCAAGTCAGTGTTCTTTCTTTTCATTTCTTTTCATATATACATGTAATATATTTTCTGAATTTCAATGTCCTTACCTTGCTGAAGTATACTCTGTTTTATTATATTATAAACCATGGATTAGTCTGGGGAACCATGTCATTCTCACACTAGCGTAGCTAGGGGGGGCGGGGGGGCGGTCCGCCCCGGGCGGCACTTTTGGGGGGCGGCACTTTTGGGTCTGCTCATCACCCATATCTGCAGCTACTGGAGACGTTAATCCATCCCTTTGTATCGGCGGCAAGTTAATCCTTGTCGTGTCTGACCTAACACCTGACCCACATCATCACGGCCACGTCATGAGCTACACCCTTGCTATGCGCGCCCCCCCCCGCCACACACACAACCTGTAACCTGTTGAGGATTAAGGAAACTTATAAAGTTTAAGTATGTTTGGTGTGTATTTAAAGCATACTATATTTGAGTATGTGAAAGTACAGTAATATTATAATGGTACACAAACTATATATATATATATATATATATATATATATATATATAAGAGTGAGTCACTGTGCAATATGTATTTTTTGTGGGGGCACGGAGGGGGGGGGGGCGGCAAACTCAAGGGCCGCCCCGGGCGGCAAACTCAAGGGCCGCCCCGGGCGGCAAACTCAACGGCCGCCCCGGGCGGCACACACTCTAGCTACGCCACTGCATTCTCAGCATAACACTTATTATACTTACAACGGTAGCCTGCCACCACGCTCAAAGGGATAATGGCGGCCGGGCGGCAAGGTACTCCGACCGCATGGAACCTGAGGTGACGGTAGAACGAGGAAGACTCAGAAATAATGCCTGACGGGCGGTTATCCCACCCCTTAACACATTCCTATTACACTTATATATCCGGCAAAGCTTTAAACTGTAATAACTTCTATTTATCAACCTTAATTATAGGGCGGGATATAGCCCGCTAGGACACTGACCTGAGGTGACGGTAGAACGAGGAAGACTGAGGGCATTGCCCCGCCGCTCCTCATCACGTAGGCCTACAGTTTCCAATCTTTAATCTGCACTTTTGTTTCTTATGGTTCTCACCTGAACACTTTTCGGTATATTGTCACTCATGCCTTATAAACACATATTTTAATCCTAAATTACACACTAAGGTAAGGTCTTGGTTTGCTAGTTCTTGGGTAAATTCATGGGGTTATAATATCACGTGGCACCCAAGGCGGGTACATGACGCGCCTTGAAACAAAGGCTGAATGTTCATGGCGGGGGTGTATCAACTTCACTTAAAACTGTAATGAGGGATCCTCCTCTCACACCTTGCACTATTTGAATACAGACATAAGATTCTCTGATCACTGTACCTGTCGTGGGTATATGTCACGTGAGGATACGAGGTGTATTAAGTTCATACCGACGCATACAAGATACTTCCTTTCAAGTATAGTTTCTGGATCACTTCCAACACCTCACATAGTTCTGATACATTTATCCTTTTTCCAGATCATGGTTCTCATGTATTTTCATATGATATCTGTGGAAGTTATGTTCGCTACACGTTCACAGACGTAAATAGTATGACCTTCAAACCATGATCCACACTTAGTCCTACAGTACACTAGTCCGGCTCAACTGGACTTTAACATTCATCTTATGCATACCCTGAGTTCTCCTTAATGCTATGAATACATACACTTAATATGATATAACTGTACCTGGGTACAATACAACACATGGTCTAGGAACATCGAGTAGGTGAGTTGTCCTTTATCAATGTTTCCCGTTTTCTGAGGTTCTACAAGCGCGGTGCATTTGAATGTTATATAGCGTAATATGAATTAAATGCGATTTTTAGGAATGACAATGATGTGCGCAGTACACTACCACAAGGCAGAGCACATTAAAAGTTTAGCCTTTCGGCATATGCTTTCACCTAACTTCATGACACGACTTTTTTCTTCCATTGTACATTCGACCAAGTAGTGCTCTCTGAGATGTTTATACACTTCAATTAGGTTGCCCCCTTGCCCGTCTGTAGTATAAGCTAAGCAGTTGCAGGAGTTCTAATCTATGGGTAGCTGAGGTTCCGTAGAGCAGGCGCCAGTCTGGTGTCCCTCCTTCGGGCCATTTTCAATCAATTGACAGTCTCTTGCATATCTCGGGGACCAGATGGGGTGACAGTACAGTAGACCCTTGCCATTCACGAGAGATAGGTTCCAAGAAATGTCGCGAATTGGGAAAACCATGAATAGCAGCTTATACTGCTTTAGTGCACGACTGTATACCTATATCAAACAACTGACCAGCTGCGGCAGCACTCATCCCTTCTCTTAACTTGTCTAATCATAAAACTTTCTGTCGGGGCCATTACTGACTTCTTCCTTTTACATTTCACTCCACTAGCATCACTAGCACTGACACTAGGCAGTCTTTTAGGGGTCATTTCACACAGAAACACTAAAGTTTTGAGAGTACAACACGAGATGATGCGTGGAGTGACTCATTGTCAGGGCCGGATTCAGGAGTGGGCAAAGTGGGCAGCTGCCCAGGGGCCTCCACAATCTGGGGGCCTCCACATATTACAATATTTTATTTATTTGTTTATTCATTTGGATTATTTTTATTTTCATTCCTAAAATTCATGGGAATTTGTACACTATCAATAAATATACAGTTAATTAAAAATTTCTCAATGTTCTAATTTCCTCAATATAACTGCATATGGCTTCAAAATTCTCCAAAGAAGTGTTCAAATTTCAAAATTTTCCCGGGGGGCTTACAGCGCCCCCCGGAACTCCCAGATGTTTAGGCTCACTTCACTCGCCACCCCACCCTCTTGGGTAGTTATAATGAGGGGGGGCCTCCACAAAGAGGCTGCCCATGGGCCTCCACAGGTCTAAATCCGGCACTGCTCATTGTGCTGCCGAAAAAGGCTTGCAAGCTAGCCACCATAGCCACCATCTGCTTAACGTGAATTGTTGAAAATGCGAATCACAAGCTCGCGAATGGCAAGGGTCTACTGTACTCCAGATGGGGAAGTACCTCGGTCTTGAAGATCGTGATAAGTGGTGGACCATCCAGATATCTATACGACCTTTTTATATGACATTAGTTTCGATGTAGTATTACTTTAGTCAGTCTTTGCTAGTAGACTTTACCTGGATTTTTGCAGAAGTAAAGCTTAGGCACTTGCCGTCACTGGATTCTGTTTATACGGCAAAACACATATGGTATAAGTGTGTGTGCACTGATGCAATATCTGAAAGAGGTTGCAACCAGACTGCACTCTAATGCATTTTGAAATTCATGTCTGTCTTTCATAAGAAATAGTCTGCATGGATCATATTATTATATGTAGATATCATCGTTGTCCAAAACTATATGGATTAGTCTACTCCAGCACAAACCACACTTCAAACATCTGCAATAACCTGTTATTGTGAGTCAGTGATATAAAGTTAATGGAATATTATGTAATTGATCAACAGTGTATGAGGGGCCTCATAGTAGTGGTTCAAGTGCAACCCAAGGGCCACAGTACAGTACTTATTACAAGTACTGTATAATAGTTACTAACTGCAGCATTCGAATAACATTAAACATGCACCTGTGTTGAACCTCATCATTCTTTACTGTATCAAATTTCTGCTCCTTTTTGTGTTGTGCCCTTATTTGTCTTTTCCAGCATTTCATATTTAAAGTATGAAAACCTCTTCTCTTACTTTCATACCTCATTAAGTTACTCTTTTTTACCAAGTCCTAATTTGAAGACCAGGTTTTTAGTGTTAATCAATAGTTTTTTTTTTCAATTAACCCTTATTTGGCCCATCCCTTGTTCAGGATGGGGAGGTATTCCTTTGAGTTGCTGCGAGCCAGCCGGTTGGTGGTGGACACGGGGATGCATGCACTGGGCTGGTCACGTGAGAGAGCAGTGGCCTTTCTCCTGGACCACACAGGGTTCTCTAAAGAGTCCATACAGGTGAGTGAGGGAAAGGAAGAGTTAAGACAACTGAGGACTTAAGAGGTGTTTTTTTTAGAACTGACCTAGTCACTCAAGTGAAGGTTAAGATATTTTACTCTCCGCGTGTTGTATATTTGCTTGAAGAGAGAAACGCTTGCCCTGACAATGGGAGAGTAATATCAATTACATGAGTGGTGTATGTAAGAGACAATGTCAGGTGCCCACAAAAATATTTCCAACAATTAAACTATGCATGCTGTAACAACACAAATTGATACCTAAATAATCAAGCGGCTAACGAGCCAATCAGTGGTGAAGAGGATAAAAGTAAAAATAGAACAATAAACATTACTGATCATATATTTAAATTCATTTTAGTAAACCAAAATGTCAAATAACTACAGGTACTTTTACATAGTGAATTTATAGCGTAAATTAGCTTCTCGCACTCTTCATAGTCATGGCAACCCCGGGTATACACAGAGAGTCATATCTCTTATAGTTTTGGTGAATGTGATAGTGTAATTTCAGTACTAACCTTGTAATGCTCCTAAAGACCTTAGTTGTAGAAGCACAGTCATAACAATATACAGTACAATACTGTAACAACAACAACAACAATCCCAGGCCCTAGCTTGTGACTGGGATCTAAAAAAAAAAGAATAAATTCAATAAATAGATTATCTTACTCTTTCATACTGAAGCAAGTAAGGATATCTATCCATTTGGTAAGAAAGTAGACTACTGGAGAAAGGAAAAAGAGTTGAGAGTTTTGTTGTGAGCATAACCTGAGACTTGCAGATCCGTATATCAATTAACTTCTTGTACACTCTGCATGTTTTGTTTATGATACAGCCATTAGACACTTACATGGGGAGTTCTGTGGCCACACAGTTGTAGGTACTTTTGTAGAACATCAGTTTGCTTGACAAGAATGTTGACTCCATTGATTTGGGGGTCTACATCATGCACTGAGTGAAATTAAAATCTAGTGTATAGATCTATATGATTCTGAGTTATTTTAATACAGGGGCGGAACCAAGGGAGGGTCCTTGGGTTCCAGACCCCACCCATTTTCATCAGAAAATTCCAATACTACTTTTTCTTTTTTGTATCGTAAAAAGTAATTACTATTGACTCCAGAATATCTCCTAATATCAAGTGCACGTGGCTTCATAATGGCCTCAAAATGTCCATAATATTGGTCTGATTAAAAAAATAAATAAAAAAATAAAATCTGGTAGGGCTTACAGTGCCCCCCACCCAGCTGGGTGGGCTCCCTGTGCTTATCATATTCCCCCACCCACAAATTCTTGGACCCCACCTATTGATATTTCTGGATCTGCCCCTGTAATATGCCTACTGTATACAGTACAGGTATTGTATTTATAGTGCCTTGGAGTGACCGGGATGAGATAGTTAATACGCAACTGAACAGTCAGGGTGGACAGAGCTTAGTGTGATGGGTTGGACAAATCTTGATTGTTTGGCTCCCAGGTAAGGCAAAGTTTTAAAGTACAGTATTAAACACTGTAATACAAGATATTAATTGATGCATACCAAAGTGGTTTATTGCATAAAACACTGAAAAAACTAGAATGATTCTGTAGTAAAATGATTGTGCTTTTTAAACTTTGTGGCTAAAACGTTTACAGTAGTGTGTATGATCATGCTCTGATTTACTCAATCACACTTCATATGGATGGAAGAGCATAAAGTTATATTTCTATCATGGTAAACCCATTATAAAAAGTGATAATTATAAATATTCATTTTTTTCAGATTGAAATTAACCGATACATCACCATGCCAGGACAGGCTTGTTCTTACAAGATTGGCGAGATTAAAATAAAAGAGCTGAGACAGAAAGCCCAGAATGCTCTCGGTGGTCTGTTCCGCCTGTTTGACTACCATGATGTGGTTCTGAGCTGCACTGGTCCACTGAATATCCTAGAGGAGTGTGTCACTCACTATATCGAAAGAAAAATTTTGGACATTGAAAAAGTAGAGGAGAAGGAAGGTGAAGACATAATCATAAGCAGTAATGATGAAGAAGATGGATCTACAAATCAAAGTTCAGAAGATAGAGAAAATGAAAATGAAAATTTGAATGAGACAGGTAGAGCTGCTCTGTTTAGGGATAAGACTCCTGTGATTTTGACTGTATCCATTATATGTTTATTTTTTCCCCATCTACTAAGATAATCCTATCTGTTAATATTCAAGGCATCTTAGATCTTCTGAGCTATGTTCTTCCGTGTGAGTGGGCTGTATATTGTTTTGGCTTCCAATTTTGTACATTAGTGCGCTGTGTAGCTTATCCTATCAAATCATAGTCATATATTGTATAATATTTCTGCCAAATATATAAATTAAATGGAATGTTGGATGAGTTTCACTTCAAGTGGGCTTCTCCTGGCCTACATGCATGGTATGAATAGATGCACTGAACACCATACTAAATAATAAAAGTAACAATAATTTAACATATGAAAATATAGAGAAAAAATTTCTCCAAACGGGGAAGCACCTCACTCTTGATGATGGTTACGAGGGACGGACCGTCTAAATATCTGAATGATCTTCTTATAAAACCTAGTTTAGTTGCTTGATTCACCTTCTCACAATGGCCTGATAGCTTCCGTTGGTTGTCAACACACGCCCAAGTCCTTTTCACATTCAATCTCTATTAATGCAGTTTCTTCATCCTGTTGGGGCATGTGATACGTCTACTTATTGTTGGTATGACCTAGGTGAATCGTCTTACAATTTGTGACATTGAATCTTAGCAGCCATTTTTTCGACAGTTCTTGAAGCTGACAGAGATCTTTCTGTAACTCTTCACTGTCTGTTTGGTTCTTAATTTCCCTGAATAACTTGGTATTGTCTGCAAACTTTTGTATGGAGAAGTGTACAGTAGGATCTCAAGTTTAGCGAGTTCTAAATTCGTGATTCCTTTGTTTAGCGTCACTTTTAGAATTTCCAACCTCTCAAGAATAGCGATTTTCATTATCAGTTTCGCGAGTCATTGGAGAGTGGGCAGCACGCATTGTCATGGTCTTATGTTATCCGTCAACCCGCCAAGTATTTTTTGTTTACGGCAGTTAGTTTGAATGAACAAGTGGTGCAGTGACCTTGGATTATATAACCCATTGTGCTTACGTTTCGCGAGATTCTTGTTTAACTATTAGTAATTCTTGTGTATTAACGATGAGAAAGGTGTGTAATGTAAATGTCGGGAGCAGCTCTGGTGGTAATGATGGTCGTAGAGAAGGTGAACACGGAAAGCCCCAAGCCAAGCGTGACTACCGTAAGGGGGTCAAGAAGAGGAAATACACACACTTGAAATGAAACAAGAGATGCTTGAAATTATCAAAAGTGGTGCTTGTACCTGTGAAATCATGTGTAGGCTCAACTGTCCCGAATCATCCATACATTCCCTTAAGAAGAACAAGGAAGCCTTAACTGCTTCTGTGAATGTATTCTCAAGATTTTCTAGTAACAGGACTTTCTCCGATACTTCACAACGAAAACAACTGCTTGTTATCACAGAATATTACCTGCACAAGTGGGTGGAAAGAAGAAACCGTGAGCAAGGCGATCTGTCTGTGCCACAGATAAGGCATCAAGCACGTGTTTATTACGCTGCAGTTGCACAGAAGAAACGCGTTAACTCTCCACCACCGTTAAATGCTTCTGTTGGTTGATTGGCAGCTTTTAAGAAGTGTTATGAAGTCAAGTTTGCTCACTACCATGGGGTGAGTGCATAGGCTGATGTCATAGCAGCAGAAAAATATCTATCTGTCTTTCAAACTCTTGTGAAAGAGGGTGGTTATTGCCGAGACCAGATCTTCAATTGTGACGAAACTGGCATGTTCTAAAAGCGCTCTCCTAAGACCACTTTCCCTGCCAAGGATAAAAAACAGGCAAGGGATGTAAAGACTTCAAAGGACAGGATTACAGTTTTATTCACAGCTAATGCAAGTGGAGATTTCTTGATGAAACCCCTGGTTGTTAACCGTGCTGCCTGTCCTAGAGCCTACCGTCATGCCAATATGTCGCAGCTCAATGTTTATTGGATTTCTATTAAGAAAGCTTGGGTTACGTCGTCTTTATGCACCGATTGGTTTGACAAGCACTTTGTTCCTGATGCCCAACAGTACTACCGGAGGAAGAACATCGACTTCAAAGTGATCCTGGTGATGGATAATGCTCCTGGAAACTCTTGTTTCTAATTGGACACCACCCTAATATACAAGTTATCTTCCTTCTTCCTAACACCACATCGCTTCTGCAGCCACTTGATCACGAATTCATCAGTAATGCTAAACTGTTCTACTATCAGCCACTCTATAAAGACTTTCGACAGCAGACAGACTCATTAGTTTAGTTACAACAAAGCGAGGCAGAACTTTCTGACAGTGACCAGGCTCTACCAGCTAACCAGGAGGAGCAGCAGCAGCAGATGGTAGATGACTCGACTCCTAGTATAAGGGTGTGAGCCTTCAACCTTTCTTTTTAATATTTTAAATCTTTAATTTTCTCTAGTAGGTTTTTTTCCATAGTTACTTCATTTCAACTTACAGTACTTCAATCTCTGACTTCTGGTAGCGTGACTCAAGGGCTAGGACACATGGGTACATGTAATTATGGTATCAAGCAATAGGAAGGAATAACGGTGACAATTGTAGGTGAATAATAGTCCAAACATACAAATAAAATGGTTTATTAAAAGCATAAAATGGTTTATCAAAAGTAAAATGATTATTAAAAATATAAAATGGTTATTAAAATGACGTTAGATTTCTTGAACAATTATAGGAACTCAACTACAGGGTCAACTCCCTGGTTTAACTTATTTTGTACTGTGGCACTTAGGCCCAATTTCCACTTACACCACGACTGGGTGTACATATACAATAACACACACAAACTCTCTCTCAGCACCATTAATACCTGTGGCAATGATGCCAGTTATCACATGTAACTGCTCACATAGCACCAGACATGATACTCAACAATACCAGACATAATACTCAAGCAATAATACTCAAACAACAAACCATGGCAGTTTTCTCCCACCACGGGTCCGACTAATTACCCAAATGTACCCAAATATAGCCGCAATGAAGTCAAATAATGGTCCTAGATGAATAAATCGGACTGCCAATCACTTCTCGACTAGTATTTGGTGTCACAGTCACAAAAATTTGGTAAACTTAATTTAATCTGAGTTAATAGATCGAGTGCATGTACCAAACCTAACCTCGACTAGTATTTGGTGTCACGAAGACAAAAAAAATTGGTAAACTTAATTTAATCTGAGTTAATAGACACAAGTGCATGTACCTAACCTAACACAACTCAGATTAAATTAAGTTTACCAATTTTTTGTGACTATGACACCAAATAATAATCGAGAAGTGATTCACAGCCCGAATTACGCTTGTAGGACCATCATTTGACTTCATTGCGGCTACATTTGGGTACATTTGGGTAATTCCTCGCTGCCTCGGTACATGCGCGCGATGTATTAACTCAGATTAAAGTAAGTTTTCCAATTTTTTGTGACTTTGTGACACCAAATACTAGTCGAGAAATGATTGGCAGTCCGATTTATTCATGTAGGACCATTATTTGACTTCATTACGGCTATATTTTGGTACATTTGGGTAATTAGTCGGATCGCCCACCACAAGGTACCTTGGAACACACTCCGACAACTCCGGTGAACGCCTACAGGTGTCCTCGGAGGAATAGCACAACCACCACGTAGCCCTACTGAGTCATGGACTCATCCAATAATGATGGGGGCTGGCAGTTGTTTGTTGGGCCTGATGTTCAATGTCACCACGTGGGCAGTGGATGCATCAGGGGAGCTGACTAGGCTCGGGGCACCAGGTGGTCGGTGATTTCCTAATGCCCGGGATTATTGGCCTTCATCCATTTCCCAAACGAGTGTAGGGGACTTCCTCAAGCTAAAGACACGTGGTCTATGACGCCTACAGGAACCTGTGGGTGAAGGAGTGTGGGCGCTGACTGACGGTTTGAAATGAACATCAACGTTTCAAAAGGACGTTAAGGGCGTAAAAACACTTCACTCAAAGCACATCAGTTATGTTACTGTATCACTGGCATAATCAAGCTATTAATTAGGTCAAATCACTTAAAATGGCGAGTTATAATATGGAGAAATGGACATGCCTGTGGGTGAAGGAGTGTGGGCGCTGACTAACGGTTTGAAAGTGCCCAGCTCGCTCCTCTCCCGCTAGGTTCTGGTGCCACTACACTCTTTTACTTTTTACTTTTATCCTCTTCGCCACTGATCGGCTTGTTAGCCGCCCGGGCGATCGGTCACGTCTCTGTCACGCACTGTTGGCAAATATTGGGCATGCACCGGCTCCTGAATGTACCTGAACCCGCTCCAGTGTTGGTCAAGTCTTCTCTTGAAAGAGCTCACACTCGGTGCCGTCACAACACTCTCTGGTAGATTGTTCCAAGAGTTTACAACCCTCACTCCGAAAAAGTTTGCCCTCACGGTTTTCCGGACTTGCGGCTTCTTCAATCTTGAGCTGTGACCCCTTGTGGGGCGAGCGTCCGCCAGCTCCAAGTAAGGACACTCAACTGAGTAGTGCCCCCTGAGATGCTTATAAACCTCAACTAGGTCCCCCCTTGCCCGTCTGTAGTATAAGCTAGGCAAGTTCAGGCGCTCCAATCTCTCAGGGTAGCTGAGATGCCGAAGTGCAGGCACCAGTTTGGTGGCCCTCCTTTGAACATTTTCAACCAACTGACAGTCCCTAGCATATCTCGGGGACCAGATGGGGTGACAGTACTCCAGATGGGGAAGCACTTCACTCCTGAAGATCGTCACGAGGGACGGACCGTCTAGATATCTGAACGACCTTCTTATAAGACCCAATAATTTATTTGCCTGATTTACCTTCTTCTCACAATGGCCCGAGAACTTCAGCTCATTGTCAACATACACACCTAGGTCCTTCTCACACACAGTCTCAACTAGTACATTTTCTTCATCCCGTTGGGACATATGGTACGCCTCCTTACCGTTGGTACGCCCCAGGTGCATCCTCTTACACTTCGTGACATTGAATCTCAGCAGCCATTCCTTCGACCATTCCTGGAGCCCACAGAGGTCCTTCTGCAGCTCTTCACAGTCCGCTTGGTTCTTAATTTCCCGAAATAACTTGGCGTCATCGGCAAACATTTGTATGGAGGAGTGTACAACGTCAGGCATATCATTTATGAAACAAACAAACAACAGCAGGCCCAATACACTACCCTGCGGTACCCCACTTGTGACAGGTACAGATGACGATTTCGTGCCATTAATCACCACACATTGCTTGCGGTCATGTAGAAAG